AATTTGTTTGTTTGTTTCTCAAAACTTCCACGACAATCTGTTAACCGATTTTTACCATTCATGAATGCCTGTGAATGAAAACAAAAGTAATTGGAACTCAGCTATTACGTGACTTCCTACAGGTAAGTAAGTAAAAGGTGTGTCCGTGTCGGGATTTTCGCGACAGATTTGAATTCGAAATGTCACTTATATGACGTCAGGAAACACCGCGAGAGAAAGGAAATGCATGAGTTCTAGAGAAACGGTCACAAGGCTGCCGCAAAAAACGCATATACCAAGTGACCCAAAACTATCAGAATTTCGAAAAGTGGAATCTGTGACGTAAATTACACACGCTTTCGGATCGGTGAACGCAAATCCAGCACTTTTCGTTTTGCAATTATTGTTATTGATACGATATACAAATGCCACTTGCAGTATTGAGGTCGTTTATTACACATCTCACCTCGAGTTTGCAAAAAAGGACTAGAAAAATAAGAAATGGGTTTTCGCGTTACTTCAGCGTCTTTCTATTTCTTGGGTTTCACCTAACAGTACCTTGACCTCTGCTGCATCTCGTGTGTGCCTTGAATTTTGCAGGTAAAACCCCTTCGCTGGGAGTCTGTGCAGGTAAAACCATCATCTGATTCATTGTGGTCGATTTCGATTGAATAACTATCGGGAAAAAAAGCGGAGAAGAAAATGTGTGTAATGTTGCAAAGCTGGTTAATTATAATTAGTGTGTTGTGCTGTTTTTAACTTTATAGCTGACACGAAAAGTATTGCGAAATTAAACAAACGCAAGAATTGCCTATTGTTGACGTACTTGCTCGTAATGAATTTTTAAGTTTATCGCTCTACATAAATTTTTATGATGGTGGGCGTGATTTATTATTATTATTATTTGTGTTACCGAGGATGAGGAATCTGTGAGATATGTTTACTAGAAATCCGTGTGTTGAGTCAAATCCTCGCTGACTAACAATTCGGGTGAAATTTTCTGCTTTTGCATTTTATTTTCGAAAATAAGTGTACGTTTTTTTGTTGAAATATATTGCTTGAATTCGAATATAAAATCTGCTATTATGTAATTAAACGTTTTTAAGTCGATATAACTTCTTTAACCCATGAATTTTGGAAATATTTTGAAACTTTTTCAAAGTTTTATACACGGTGTCCTATAAAATTAATATAACCATCAACCTTTTGAGCTTTATCGCACAAATAACTTATTTAATTTCCCTAAAACTGTAGGAATTATGGATGATTTTCCTTGGTGTAGATAAAAGTATATATACAGGGTGAGTCACTAAGTGCGCGGCGGTCGATATCTCATTAATTACTAGAGACAAAAAAAACACAGATAAAGTGGTACGGTTTTTTATTTTTAATTATACATAGAGAATATATGTTTTAAAAAGCTTAAAAACGGAACATTCTGTATAGTTGAATATAATTTTAGTGTATACTATTCAATGAATTTTACAACTTTGGTCTTTGACTTTTTGATATTTTTAATAATTAATGACATATCAAAGAGCGCGCGCTTCGTGATTCACCCTGTATATGTAGATCTCTACCAAAAGTTTAATGACGGCAACGCTAATATTCGTAAATACTTAAATTTTAATTTCTAATTGTGTAATAAACCCATTTTATCCATTATTTCAGTACCTATTCTAACAACATGATACAAATTGGTAGTTCAATGGTGAGTAATTTTTTTTTAATTCGCTGGAATTATATTTCCATTTTATTTTACTGTATTTTTTGAGAGAACGACGAATGGAATTGTAATTTGTAATTTCTAGTATTATTTTCTAATTAATGAAAGTAATTATGGAACGTAGAAGAAATTATTGGGAATTCATGGAAAACACTCAAATTCTTTGAAATTGATTGAAATTGTTTTAACTTTCACTAATAGAATATTCGGAATTATCTATTCATGTAGTGCAATTTTTGGAATATATTGTGAATTATTTAAATTCTTGACAATTCACTGGAATTTTTAGAAATTCACCGGAATTATATCTATACATGCTTTTATATTTTATATTATTCAATTTTTTGCCAGAGGGAGCAGTGGAATTACTTGTTTTATTTTCTACATTATTTGGAATTTGTAGAGTTGTTTTATAATTAGTGAATTTCGTTACGAAATGTGGAAGGAATTGTTTGGAATTCATGTTACCGGGATTTCTTGGAATTGGTGGAAACTATTTTAATTTTTACTGATTGAAGATTTGGAATTATTGTTTCGAGCAGTGGAATTACGAGAATATATTCTATTTACACAAATTCTTGAAAATTCACACTAATTTTTTTTTAAATTCGCTGAAACTTTATTTGTATTTTATTTTACTGTATTTTTTGACAGAACGACCAATGAAGTTATAATTTGTAGATTCGAGTATTATTTTCTAATTAATGAAAGTAATTATGGAATGTAGAAGAAATTATTGGGAATTCATGGAAAACACTCAAATTTCTTGAAATTGGTTGAAATTGTTTTAACTGTCACTAATAGAATATTCGGAATTATTTATTCATGTAGTGCAATTTTTGGAATATATTGCGAATTATTTAAATTCTTGACAATTCGCTGGAATTTTTAGAAATTCACCGGAATTATATGTATATATGCTTTTATATTTTATTTTATTCCATTTTTTGACAGAGGAAACTTCCACTGTTTCCTCTGTCAAAAAATGGAATAAAGTGGAATTACTTGTTTTATTTTCTAAATTATTTGGAATTTTTAGAGTTGTTTTATAATTAATGAATTTCGTTACGAAATGTGGAAGGAATTGTTTGGAATTCATGTTACCGGGATTTCTTGGAATTGGTTGAAACTATTTTAATTTTTACTGATTGAAGATTTGTAATTATTGTTTGGAGCAGTGGAATTACGAGAATATATTGTATTTACACAAATTCTTGAAAATTCACACTGATTTTTTTTTAATTCGCTGGAATTATATTTTTGTACTTTATTTTACTGTATTTTTTGACGACCAATGGAGTTATAATTTGTAATTTCGACTATTATTTTCTAATTAATGAAATTAATTACGAAATGTGGAAGAAATTATTGGGAATTCATGGAAAATTCTGAAATTTCTTGGAATTGATTGAAATGATTTAAACTTTCGCTAATAGAATTGTCGGAATTATGGTTTCATTTAGTGGAATTTTTGGAATATATTCTGAATTACTCAAATTCTTGACAATTCGCTAGAATTTTTAGAAATTCGCGGGAATTATATCTGTATATGCTTTCATATTTTATTTTATTTTAATTCATTTTTGACAGAGTGGACAGTGGAATTACTTGTTTTATTTTGTAAATTTCATTACGCAATGTGGAAGGAATTGATTCGAATTCATGATACCGGGATTTCTTGCAATTGGTTGAAATTATGCGAATTTTTACTGATTGAAGATTTGTAATTATTATTTCGTGCAGTGGAATTACGACAATATATTCTGTTTACACAAATTCTTGAAAATTCAAGCTGATTTTTTTTTAAATTCGCGGAATTATGTTTGTATTTTATTTACTGTATTCTTTGAGAGAACGACCACTAGAATTATAATTTGTAATTTCGAGTATTATTTTCTAATTAATGAAATTAACTACGAAATGTGGAAGAAATTATTGGGAATTCATGTAAAATACTGAAATTTCTTGGAATTGGTTGAAATTATTTTAACTTTCACTAATAGAATATTCGGAATTATGGTTTCATTTAGTGGAATTTTTGGAATCTATTTTGAATTACTCCAATTCTTGACAATTCGCTAGAATTTTTAGAAATTCGCAGGAATTATATTTGTATATGCTTTCATATTTTATTTTATTTTAATTCATTTTTGACAGAGTGGACAGTGGAATTACTTGTTTTATTTTGTAAATTTCATTACGCAATGTGGAAGGAATTGATTCGAATTCATGGTACCGGGATTTCTTGGAATTGGTAAAACTATGTAAATTTTTACTGATTGAAAATTTGTAATTATTATTTCGTGCAGTGGAATTATCGCTGGAATTATATTTGTATTTTATTTACTGTATTCTTTGAGAGAACGACCAGTAGAATTATAATTTGTAATTTTGAGTATTATTTTCTAATTAATGAAATTAATTACGAAATTTGGAAGAAATTATTGGGAATTCATGTAAAATACTGAAATTTATTGGAATTGGTTGAGATTATTTTAACTTTCACTAATAGAATATTCGGAATTATGGTTTCATTTAGTGGAATTTTTGGAATATATTCTGAATTATTCAAATTCTTAACAATTTTAAAAATTCACCAGAATTATATTATTTTATTTTATTTTGTCATCAAATTTTGTATACTTTTTTCCTCTTGTATTTTTTTGGAATCCAAGACTTGATTACCAAAGATGGACAGGTGGCCACGTTTCGAAGATGATTTTGAAAGCGTGTCGTACAAATAACGCAGGTACACGATTATCGGCTCAAACTTGCCTCCAATATGACAAAATTAATAAGTAATAACGCACAACACCTTCATAAGAACATTTTTATAACCTACAATCCGGTTTGTCAACATAGTCTTAACAATATTGACAATTTTTTAGCAACAGTTTGTGATAAAATGCACGATTCTCAGTAATTATTTATAATTATTACCTAATTTATCCCATCTGCAGTAAAAGTGCACAGCATTAACTTAGCCTTGCTAACGGCTTACACAATCGAACAACTTTTTGTAATCCGAATATTAAAATACTTTTCTTTGTGTATTTAATTATTCAAAAAACGAGTCTGGAAATAAAGAAACCACTACAACAGAATGTCAACTAACTGCAGTTGTCAGTATTTCAAGAATTTTAACGAATTTTTAAAATCGTAATTTTATGTAAAAAAAAATGCGCGCTTTAGTTATTCAGAATAAATTAAAACCTTGCTTTAGTTTCCGTGTTAAGTTTGTTGTCCTAGTTTTCAAACATTGAGCAATTCCAACAAAAAAATTAAACGCACAAACCTGGAACGTTTCGTAGCAACACTTGAACATTTTAATATCGACGTCCAACATTTAGAGAAAACTCGAGTTAAATTCATCAGTCAAAACACGCACAATTCTTTTTAAAAAATCTATCTTTTATTGAAAACATCCAGTGTTAATTACTAACAAACAATTTACAAAACTTATGGCACTATAACAACCTGAGATCTACTAATCTGCGATCCCGATTAACTTCTTTAAAGGCACCATCATCTACGACTAGCTAATATTCAGACGAGTTGCTATTCCAATAAGGTGTCCACTTGTTCGCCACTCCCCTATGTCTTTCATTATAAGCACTCTTCACACTCTTATCCAAAACCACGAACGCTGAAGACGACTCCACCGAACTGTCCCTCATCCACTTATTCTTAGCAGTGATATCAATCAAAGGCAAAACTGGAGTGGTGCACCTACTGGCCAAGTTCTCCACCAGAACCGGTTTACCGAAAGTTTTAGGCCGCGAAGGCGCCTCAGAATTCGAGACATTCTGGCTCCTGGGGAGCGTCCGGGACCTCCCTCTGGACGTTTTTGACACCACGGAGTCCGGACTGGTGCTCCTCGACGACGACTTCTTCTTGTCTTCCGGGACGGACAACTTTGGGCCGAAGACTGACGTTTCTATCTGGGATAAAGAACGGTTTCTGGGACTTCTGACGGGTTTTGCCGATTTTGCAGCTGGTTTGGTGCTACGGCAAAAATGTTAGTGTTGTTTTGGCGCTACTGGACATTACCTGGGGGGTTTTTGTTCTACAGGGGGTTGTATTTTGCTCAGGGCGGTTTTCTCTACGCGTTCTTCTTCCAGTACTCTTTTAGGTGGGCTCAGGTTGTCTAAAGGTCGGGATTTTCGTTCCACTCTTTCACGGATTAGGTAGTCGATGTACGCTTTTCTGTATTCGGGTTGGCACTCAATGTTTCCTTCTAGCTTCAGTTCTGGGTCTCTTTTCAGGGGTTCGGTTCGGGGCACGTTGGGGAAAGGAACATATTTTTCGGTTTGTTCAGTCAAGTGGTCTAACTGAAATGAATCAGGAAGCTGAAATTATCGGTTGGTTTATTTTCTGTTTCAGATGGCTACTGAAATGAAAGTTAATCTTAAAAAAATATAAGCACACTTCGAAAGAATATATTTCATAGAAGAATTATACTTTTATGTAAAACCACATACTTTTTGTAACGGACAAAGTCCATCTAAATATAACATAGTAAAAAATATAAAGAATGAAGTGTTATATAAATTATTTACAACACTATTAGCCATAAATTAATTGAATTCGCAAATATTGTATGATATTGTATTTGCAGAGTAAACGATAAAACTATAAGTAAATATAGAATTAAACTATAAAAGATAACGCTAAATAATTTTATCTAAATAGACGAGTTTTCGTGTTACAACATACATAATAGTTGACCTCTAAAGTGATATACTTAACCTGAACTGATATGACGAGGCATACCTACTTAATAACTAGATATTTAAAATAATTGTCATAAATTATATGTTTTTATAATTCTATATTTTTGGTCGTTTAGAAGTTGACGTTAACACAAATCTAATAAACTAAATATTAAAGGCGCATTAGTACAGGTTCTGGAAAATTTTAATTCAAAAGAAAAAAGTGAGAAAATGACAAAAACCTATTGAGAGATCCGTAATTGAATCTTTGCAAAGCTGTTATATAATAATTGACATAAACACACATAAATAGCATAAATATAAATTTACACTTCTGTAAACATCAACCCATATTTTTAGTATCTAATTAGTAATTAACGTGGAACTGAACCAACAGCATGTTTTTATTAGTACACAGAAAAACTATTATATGAATTATAAACACGCGTTAAAACGAACATAATCAATATTTTGCTTTGGTGTATAACTGGTTGCATAACCGTTATCATTTAAAAACCCGCAATAATAATTAATTTTTTTTAGAGATACTGCAAACTGATTTACTTTCTGTATTATTTTTTCAAGTGTATGCAGTGTGTTGAAGTTAGCTTTAGTTTTGAATTTAGTTTGAATTCTTGAAGGCTATTTTGAACATTTATGGCACTGAAGTATTTTTTTCATATAGCATGTGATAGTTACCAACAAAATTAGAAATTTCTGAAAGCAATATGAAAATGTTATTGTTTTAACGCTGTTACACAAATTCTGAAAAAAGTAGCTTCAATCACTGAAGGTTCAAAAACGTAAACATATCTGTTTATACTTATTTGAAAAAACTGTCAAAATCATCAGATCTCACTAAAACCGGTGCTACCAACAGAAGATTAAAAAATTTACAACTTGATTTACATATTTTTTTAAGTGATAAAAACGGGAGAAAGTTAAACTACAACGTTTTATTTTGCATAAATTGTTATGTCATTGACTTAGGGATTATAATATTTTCACATTTCAATCAGAGAAAAACTATCAGAAATAAAAAATACTGTCGGAACCAATGTTTTTTCACTGTCACAAAGTGTCAGTTTCTAACTATTAGGAGTATAATCTTTTTTTTAATGTTGTCATTCTTGACACTATAGACATGCTGACGTTGGATGCGATGAGACAGATCTTTTAAACTTCAAACGTCACAGTGATAATACGACAGACTATCAAAATTTTCAGAATGACAGAAATATGACATCCAAGATTTTCTGGCTCCGACTGTATATACATATAGGGTGAGTCACTGGGCACGCCCCTTGATATCTCCTTAATAATTAGAAATAGAAAAAAATCTAAGCTTAAAACTACACAGTTTTTTGGTGAGCACATGCGAAAATTATTCTCAACTATACAAAATATTCCATGTTTAAAATGTAACACAGTACTTGATTTTTTCAAATGGAATACCCTCTATATATTTTTATACATTTTGATTCACCTCTTCCTATGCTTTATAACAATACTTTATTTTCGAAATTTCGATGCAATGTTGCCAAATTATTCCAATCTTTTTGAATTTTTTTAACCATGGAAAGGTTAAAATGAAATCGCAATATAGGGTTATTTTTAAAATCTGGATTATGACATATTTTGTGGAACAATAAATAAACATGAATTTTCTTATGGAACAAATTAAATTGAGTTTTAATGTACAAAGTGTTCATAAAACAATTTTATTCTGTTTTGTTTTCTCTTTCTCTTTGGTTAAATACCTATTTTAATGGACATACTGACTTATGAAAGAAAAGGGAACAAAAAATAGGGTAAGATGCGGTAATGAAATACAGGATGTTCTACTTGAAGAAACTAAAATATCTATATTTGAAAATTCTAAAGTGTATTTTTTTCTAAACACACTGTAAATTAAAAAATTGATATCATTACAATGTGCACGTTGTTGTTTATCTCTTCAAAAATGACTAAAATACAGGTCTTAAAAATAATGTTATTGTAATTTTTTGGACACAAAAATCAAACAAATTGAAATAACTTGGCAACTTCGCATCCAAATTTCAAAAATAACGAACGGTTATAAAGCGTAGAAAGAATCTAAAAAGAATATGTAAAACTATATAAGGCACACTATTTAAAAAAACCGACTTGTGTGCTATGTCAAAACAAAACACTGTGTATAGTCTACAATAATTTTTGTGAGTACAACACACTCAACTATTTTTTTTTCTATTTTCAATAATTATGGCGATACTGAGCACCGTGCGTTTAGTGACTCATCCTGTATACACAAGTGGTGGGAAACTTGCATCAACCTACATAACCAAATTTTGGGTTGACATGATTTTAATATTCCTTTTCGTTCTTCTGAGATATTTAAAGAATTTCATTTCAATTTTTCGAAAAATTCTCGCCATCAATACGTATCTTTTTTTCTTTGGAAGATTTTAATCCCGGGCCATACAAACGTCATATTTTTCGAGTCAGTTCGGTGTAATGTATTTCCCAGCATTTTGTGACGATTCGTATGCAAATTTTCAATAATGTCAACTTTTCATTACCTCCCCGTATGAATTTTTTGACCGAGCTTTGAAATTTCGAAAATTTTGATCTTGCACCATCCACATCATGTTTTTCGAATCAGATGGTCGAAATGCATTTTCCATAATTTTAAGGCTTTTTAGGCAACGTTTCAAAAACTTAAATTTTTCAATAATGAATTTTGTGACAGATATACGAATTTTCGATGTAATAAAAAAAAATTCGTTTTCAAACAGAATTTTTTTGGAAAATTTTTCATTACCTCCCCACTTGAGTTTTTTGTCCGAGCTTTCCTGACATCTAAAAAAACTTCATTTTCAAACTGAATTTTTCGAAAATTTTGATGTTGGACAATCCACATATTATGTTTTTCGAATCAGCTGATCGAAATGCATTTTCCAAAAATTTTTAAAGCTTTTAAAGTAACTTTTCAAAAACCTAAATTTTTCAGTAATGAATTTTGTGACAAGTATGCGAATTTTCGATATAATAAAAAAAAAATCATTTTCAAACTGATTTTTTTTTGGAAAATTTTTCATTACCTCCCCATTTGAGTTTTTTGTCCGAGCTTTTCTGACATCTAAAAAAATTTCATTTTCGAACTGAATTTTTCGAAAATTTTGACTTGGACCATCCACACATTATGTTTTTCGAATCAACTGGTGGAAATGCATTTCCCAAAATTTTTAGGCTTTTTAGACAACTTTCCAAAAACCTAAATTTTTCAATAATGAACTTTTTAACAGATATGCAAGCTGTCAATATATTAAAAAAAAATCATTTTCAAACTAAATTTTTTTCGAAAATTTTGATCCTGGGCCACCAACACTACATATTTTTCGAATCAGCTAGATGCATTAGACAAATTTTCAATAATCTCAGTTTTTCATTACCTCCCCATTTGAGTTTTTGTCCGAGCTTTTGTGGCATGTAAAAAATTCAATTTTCAAACTGATCTTGGACCATCCACACATTATATTTTTTCAATCAGCTGGTCGAAATGCATTTCCTAAAATTTTTTAAGGTTTTTTTTCAGGCAACTTCTCAAAAACCTAAATTTTTCAATAATGAATTTTTTGACAGGTATGCGAGTTCGCGATATATTATTAAAAAAAATAATTTTCAAACTGATTTTTTTGGAAAATTTTGATCATGGGCCAACAATACTTCATATTTTTCGAATCAGTATATTCAGTAGATGAATTAGGCAAATTTTCAATTATCTCAATTTTTCATTACCTCGATGTATGAATTTTTTATTTGAGCTTTTGGGACTTCTAAAAAACTTTAAATTCCAAAACAAATGTTCGGAAACTTTGATCTTGGACTATCCTTACATAATGTTTTTCAAACCAGCCGGTCGAAATGCGTTTCCCAAAAGTTTTAAGGCTTTTTAGACCAAAATTTTTCAGTAATTAATTTTGTGACAGGTTTGCAAGCTTTCGATTTATTAAAAAAAATCATTTTCAAACTGAATCTTTTTGGAAGATTTTAATCCTGGGCTACCGACTACATATTTTTCGAATCAGGTAGATGCATTAGACAAATTTTCAATAATCTCAGTTTTTCACTACCTCTCCCTATGATTTTTTTGTCTGAGATTTTGTGTGTAAAAAATTTAATTCTTAAACTGAATTTTCCGAAAATTTTGATCTTGGACACATTACGTCGAAATGCATTTTCCAAAATTTTTTAGGACTTTTTAGGCAACTTTTCAAAAACTTAAATTTTGTAATAATGAATTTTTTGATACGTATGCGAACTTTCGATAAGCTAAAAAAGATCATTTTCAAACTGAACTTTTTTGGAAAATTTTGATCATGGGCCACCAACACTATATTTTTTTAATCAACTAGATGAAATGGGCAAATTTTCAATAATCTCAATTTTTTATTACCTACCCGTATGATTTTTTGTTCAAGCGTTTGTGACATGTAAAAAATTGAATTATCAAACTGAATTTTTCGAAAATTTTGATCTTGTACCATCTACACATTATGTTTTTCGAATCACCTGGTGGAAATGTATTTCTCAAAATTTTTTACGGCTTTTTAGGCAAGTTTTCAAAAACCTAAATTTTTCAATAATGAATATTTTGACAGGTATGTGACCTTTCGAAATATTAAAAAAAAAATCATTTTCAAACTGAATTTTTTTGGAAAATTTTTATCTTGGGATACCAACACTATATTTTTCGATTCAGCTAGATGAATTAGACAAATTTTTAATAATTTTAATTTTTCATTATCTCCCCGTTTGAATTTTTTGTCCGAGCTTTGGGGACATCTAATAAAGAAAATTTCAAACAGTATTTTTTGGAAAATTTTGATCTGGGGCCATCAACACTTCATATTTTTCGAATCAGGTAGATGAATTCCGCAAATTTTCATTAATCTCAATTTTTCATTACCTCCCTGCATGAATTTTTTTTGCCCGAGTTTTTATGACATGTAAAAAATTTAATTTTCAAACTGAATTTTTCGAAAATTTTTATCTTGGATCATCCACATATTATGTTTTTCTAATCAGCTGGTCGAAATGCGTTTCACAAAATTGTTTAAGGCTTTTTAGACAACTTTTCGAAAACCTAAATTTTTCAATAATGAAGTTTTTGACAACTTTCGATATATTAAAAAAACATTTTCAAACTGAATTTTTTTGGAAAATTTTTATCCTGGGCCATCAACAATGGATTTTTTGATTGTTTTTCGAACACCTTTAAGATTTTGACTTACACAAATTATTTTCGGCTACATTTCTTCCAAAATTCCAACAGTTGTACAAATTTAAATATCTTCGGAATTCTGTTACGTCCGATGAGAAAATGTACCTGTATTAAGTCAAGTAGAGCTAATTTTTTTTCAATTATAAAATCTAAATAAATTTTAATTTAGAAACAATTTTCCCTTGTCTAAAAGTTGAATTTTTCACTAATTTTATTGTTGTTGGATGGACCACAGCACATGGAAAAATGGAAAAAATTATAAGCACTAAAAACCTAATAACATCATTCTACATTTCGGATTACTGTGTATTTTATTAGTAAACGCAATATGACATGCGAGTGTAGCGAGCGATACTGTTTATACGTATAGTCAAGTCCTTGATGTAGTAACACTGAGATACAAAGAAGTTTTTTCACCATGTATGTAAACTAACTATACCTATTGCACTAATTATACATATATTCTTGCATTATTTAAGGACTAAATGAAGATAAAAAACATACAAGTTATCTTTTTAATTCTCCACAATTTTCCCCTTTACAACTGTAATAAAATCAAGGGAGAAAATACTGCAGTTTATTTAAAATCGCTTAATTAAAATTTCCACTTTGTTGCTGTAACGTAATTTCCGGTAGTTATTTTTATGCAAATGCTAAATTCGATATAAACGGATCTTCAAGACTTTAATAACAACGTCTACATTTCAAGGACCAATTTAACAATTTTTGCCCGTCAGCATGCGTTTAAAAACAGAATAAAATTAAAAAATAGGCCATGGAAACAACAGTCTTCATATTTGCATCAAAAAACGATGAAAAGGAAGAATATATGTACATATAAACGGATAATGTCACGATAAAAATGTACTCGACTTCGTCTGTCTGTGTCCAGATTTAGGTCACGATATAAAGTGGTAATTTTATCGCCGATTTTGTCAATTTTGTTAAACAAATTACGAAATATTCGAGTTATAATTTCCAAAACACAATTTTATTTGCAAAAACTTACAATACATTTAAATGCAAAAAAATACAAGCAGTCTACCATATTATTTTCCTCATACCCACCTCTCCTTCGCTCGAAAGACTGCACTCCGGTTTTCTAACTTCCGGCCTTTTCCGGGGAAAATCCACATAAGAGCACTTATATTCCGGACTAATTTCCATTTTGCCTTCACTCTTCAGATTATTTTCATGATGAGCCCTCCGACTCCTCGTTTTAGACGCATCAACAGCATTCTTATTAAAATCGATATAAGCATTCCTGTACTCCGGATTCAAATCTATCCTTCCTTCCAGCTGCAAATTGTGAACAATCTTCGGCGCCTCGACCCTCAGTTGCGGCTTTTCCACAAACTGGGTCCTACTCTCAGTTTCAGTTTCCATGGGACCTTCGGGCTTGAAACTGCTCTCTTTCAAGCGACCTAAATTAACCCACTATCACACTACAGAAAACCAAAAACACACATTACCTAATCTAGCCCTCAGAGCTAAATCCTCATGCGCGCTATCCATCCGCCTCAGATTCGGGATCTGAGGATGGATCTGCTGCTGGAAGGCCGCCGAAACGTCGGGAACCACGTCATAAAACCCATCAGTCTTTAAATTATTCACAGGCAGTGCCGGTTTTGGTCTTTCGGTTTTGTACTCGATGAACTCTCGTCGATACTCCGGAAGGAAATCCAGCTCACCTTCCATGTGTAGGTTCGTTTGCTTTTTGGTGAGGGCTGGTCGTTTTTGGACGTCATATCGAACAAACTTCTCTTGTTTCTCGGTGAGGATATCGTGGTCGCCCTCTAGGTGGAGATTGGTCAGTTTTTTGTACAGAGGGGGTTTGGGTGGCAGGTCGAAAGGCACAAATTTTTCGCGGTTTTCGGTGTTTATGTCCATGTCGCCTTCTAGTTTGAGGGTTGTGGGTTTTCTCAAGAGGGTGGGTCTGTTGCCAAGGAGATATTGGATGAATTTTTCTGCTTGCTCGGTGGTGGTGTACAAGTCGCCCTCTAGTTTTAGGTTTGTGGGTCGTTTGATGAGAGGGGGGCGCTCGAGGGGAGGGTATTGGATGTATTTTGCTCTGATTTCGGTTAACAGTCTTTCAGTCTCTCTGGAAAATTAAAAATTCGATTAAAGTTTGTTTAAATTCATTATGAATATATTTTAGAATTATTAAGAAAAATGTCCAATCATTGATCAAAATATTATATCGATATAATCGAAAAAAATAAATTTATTTTTAAAATAACTATGCTGGAATTGCGGGTATTTGACAGTCGTTTGACGGTAGCTGTCAATACAGACAGGAGTGCGCTGGTACTGCCAACATAATTTTTTTAACGTTAAATTTCAAATTTGTATAAATTTGAAAATATGCCCTGTGTGATAGTTTGTGCTTTAAAAATTTTACTTTATTATTAGAGTCAAAAATCAGAGTTGTACGACTTTTTGGGCAGTATAAAGTAAAAATTATTTTCAGTTGAACATGGTATCTTGATTTGGCAACATACAGCTTTGTATTTTTATACATAACCCTGTATATATTCCCAAATGTAGTATTTTATTTTTGAAATTCCGATGCAACGTTGCCAAGTTATTCTAGTTTCTTTAATAAAAATATCAAAACAGTTAATTTTAATTGCCGATCGAAGCTCAGGAAGTATTGTAATAGGGTCCATCCATCTGTCTGTCTATCTGTCTGTTTGTCCGTCTGCTGTCTGTGTCGATTTTTATTAGAAGATAATCTCCGAAACTACCACACGATTGTTATCAAATTTCGTAAGTATTTTAGGAATATCATGTAGATGGTAAGACACTAATTAAAATGTGTCTATTAATCCCCAGCAACAATGAAATGACGTCACCTCAAATTTTTGGATAGTAAATGTTTCTTAAATTTTATAAAATAACATACTTCTAAAAATTATATACTTGTGGTTCCTAAATCCTCTTGATTTTTTACACTAGAGATCCAGATCTTTGAAAACAAAGCTTCCAAAATAAGTTACAATTTAATTTTGAAACTTTTGAAACGAATAAATCCGTAAATCCAAAATCTGCAAAATATTATGATTCTATCTTTATTGCATTTTAGAATTATTATTTATACAGGGTAACTCAAAAATGAATAAATAAGTCAATTCATTTCATTGTTCTAATCAAGACTTACCACTCCATTTTTCAGAAAATTTGGGAAAACAGTCCTATTATTATTAGCTACACAGTGTACTTATTAAAACTGACATAATTGTCCTTGACAAAATGTTGATGATGTCATTACAAAATTTTTTATTGGAAAAATTCACTTGAAATATACGCATAGTATGCTCTTTAGCTATAGTTTAAGTGTCCACACATATCTTTATTTTAACTTATAGCGATTATTTTTTTTTTGTCATCATAAAATTGTGTTAAGAAAAAACTCAACTCGAAGATGCTGGATTTGCTTCATTGTACTTCAGGAGCGAGGGAAGTTCTGTCGAAACATTTTTTTTTACTTTTTTCACATCCTGGATTCTATTATTAGTTTTCACTCCTACTCGACAGAAGAAGATAATTAGCCCCGCCCACCCACCCTGCCTCCTTTCCAGTGATTGATTGTATCCTATCTGAATAAAATGAATCATCTTATACTCAATAGAAATAAAATTAGTTGTTAAAATAAGAAGAGGGGGTGGGCGGGGCTAGTACTTGCTAAGATAAGACTGATTTTGGCAAATGACATACCCCCCAAGAAAATAGAGGGTGGGTGGGCGGGGCTGGTATTTGATAGGATAAGACTGATTTTGGCACATGACATACCCTCCAATAAAATAGAGGGTGGGTGGGCGGGGCTAGTATTTGATAAGATAAGAGTGATTTTGGCACTTTTAAGATTTTCGATCGTTTTTCAACTATTTTCGAAAATTAGTTGAAGACATTTTCTTGTAGATTTCGATATCCAGAAGTCAAATTCGGCTTCGTTTCTTCGGAAATTCCTATCGTTTTCCAAAATCGCTAATTGAAATATAGCAATTTTTACAGTTTCGTGAAAATACCTCGGTATAAAAATTTTCTAGATAACAAGGAAATTATTATTAATTTTTGTTTCACAAAATACAATTGTTTCAAGAGTGTACTTTGTAGTTTTTATATACATATTTACAGAAATCTTTAAAATTTGTTTATTTTGGACAATAGAGAAGTCAGGAAAGTTCAGCTCACGTTAGATCAAGTCAGGTCAGATGCATAAAATAAGAAATAAAATTTATAGCAAATAGTATAACAAAAATAGTTACGATTAGCGAAAAATTGAAACATCGAAATATTCAAAAACTGAAACATCGTGGAAATCGAAACATAAAAAAGTTCAAAAACTGAAACATTGTAAACATCAAAAAATCAAGAAATAGAGAAATCGAAAACTCAGAAATATTCGGATTTCTCCTGACCTGACCTGACCTGACTTGACCTGACCAAAATTCAAAAATCGAAAAGTTAAAAATTGAAAAATTTAAAATCAAGAAAAAATCGAACAAACTGTAAAATCAGAAAATCGAAAAACTGAAAAACAAAAAGTTTAAAAACCGCAAGATTGAAAATTTAAAAATTTTAAAAATCGAAAAATTCCAAAATTGAAAAACTAAAACCAAAAAATCGAAAAATCGAAATATCGAGAAATCAAAACATCAAAAAACTGAAAAATCGAAAATTTAATACATAATTCAAAAATTAAAAAACTGAAATAACGAAGAACTGAAAAACTGAAAAATCAAAAAGTCGAAAAATGTAAGGTTTTAAAAGTCGCAAAAATTAAAATATCGAGAAATTGGAACATCTAAAATTTAAAAATCGAGAAATCGAAAAATCGGAAAGTCGAACAATCAAAAATCTAAATAAGTATTGAAAAAGCTCAGAACTGAATTATCAACAAATTGAAAAATGGAAAAAAAACTGAAGAATCGAAAAATTTAAAATCGAAAATAAAAAATCAAACATATTAAAAATTGAAAAATCCATAAATTGAAAAATTTAAATACTGAATATTTTAAAAATCGAAAATGGATAATTTAAAGAAATAAAAAAATTTTAAAAATAAAAAGAAAGTAAATATTGAAGAACTGAAAAATCAAAAAACTGAGAAATGAGAGATCGAAAATCCAAAACTTAAATCGAAAATTTGAAAAATTATAAAACTGGAGAATCGTAATACTGAAAAATTGAGATACTGAAGAATTCCAAAACTGAAATGAGGAAAAATTGAGAAATCGAAGAAATGAAAAATCAAAACATCGAACAATTGGAGAATCAAAAAGCCGAAAATTCAAAACGTCAAAATTTAAAAATCGAAAAGTTAAAATTTGACAAATTTCAAATTAAAAGAAAACGAACAATCGAAAAATGTAAAGTTGGAAAAACGAGAAACTGAACAATCGAAAAACTGAACAATTGAAAAACTGAAAAATCAAGAAATCTAAAAATCGCAAGTTTGAAAAATCAAAGATTCTAAAATTTTAAAAATCGAAGAATTAATAAATTGAAAAATCTAAAACCAAAAAGTCGAAGAATTGAAAAATCCAGCAATTGAAAAGTTCCCAAAATTGAAATGGTGAAAATTTTGAAAATCGAAAATTTATAATTCAAAGAAATAGAAAAAATTAAAAAACAAAAATCTGAGAAATAAAAATTCGAGAAGTTGAATAATTGAAACATCTATTAAAGATCTGAGAAATCCAGAAATCGAAAATCCAAAAATTAAAAATCATACAAAATTGAAAATTCACACAACTGAAGAATCGAAAAACTGAAAAATTGACATACTGAAGGATTCCAAAACTGCAATAACGAAAAATTGGAAACTCGTAAGGCCAAAAAGTCAAATAGTCGAAACATCGAAAACTTCAAAAATTGAAACATCGTAGAAATCAAAATATCAAAGGATCGAGAAATCGAAAATTCGAGAATTCGAAAAATCGAAAAGTTGGGAAATCGGACAAGGCCAAAATGGAAATACCGAAAAGATAAAAATTGAAAAATACAATTGTTTCAAGAGTGTATTTTGTAGTTTTTACAGAAATCTTTAAAATTTGTTTATTTTGGACAATAGAGAAGTCAGGAAAGGTCAGATCACGTTAGATCAAGTCAGGTCAGACGCATAAAATAAGAAATAAAATTTATAGCAATTAGCATAAGAAAAAAAGTTACGATTAGCGCTTTTTTTACTTTTTTCACTTCCTAGATTCTATTATTAGTTTCCTCTCCCCCCACTGCTTTTGAATTTTGATTAGATGAAGACTGAATTTTATTTTGTCAAGTGGTCGAATCTGCGCTTGAAAAAATTCAAAGTGGCCCCGCCTACCCACCCGGTTTTCTGTCTGATCACTCATTTCATTGGACGAAGAGTGCATTTTCTATTGATAACTAGTCGAATCAAGACAAAAACGTAAAATCAACTCCACCCAGCTCCGCTTTTTGAATTTCATTGGCTTATATTATTTCTTCTAAGATGAAAATTTCGTTTTGGTTCGTCAAGTAGTCCAATCTACGCTTTAAAAAATTCAAAGCAAAAAGTTCCATTTACTCTTAACATTGTTCAGTCCTATCTTGGCAAGTTTTAGCCCCGCCCACCCACCCTTTCTTTTTCTTAGAGGATATGACATTTACCAAAATCAGTCTTATGTTAACAAGTAATAGCCCCGCCCACCCGCCCTCTATTCTCTTAGAGTGTATGTCGTTACCTCCAATCAGTCTTATTTTACCAGTACCAATTGGAAAATTAGTTTTAAAACTTAGATTCTTCCGCTTGTCAAAATAGAATTCAATTCCCATTTTACACTAAATAAAATAAGTCAGTGAAATGGAGAAAGCTCTTTATTTTCTTAGAGGAAATGGCATTTCCCAAAATTAGTCTTCTCTTAGCGAATATTAGCCCCGCCCACCCGCCCTTTATTTTCTTAAAGGGTAAATCATTTGCCAGAATCTATTCTATGTTAGCAAGTAGCACTAGCTCCACCCACCCACCCTTTATTTTTGGAGGGTGCCAGTTACAAAAATCGGTCTTATCTTTACAAGTACTAAGCCCCGCCCACTCACCCTGTTGTTATTCTAACGATCTTATTTCTGTTCAGTATAAGATTCACCTTTCATTCTCACTAGATAAAATGAATCATTGAAATTTGTTCTTTTGTAGAGTGAAAATAGGAACTACTTAATATAACGCAGACTGATGAGGAAACGGGTGGGAGGGCGGGGCTATGTTTAACTTTTTCCTACACAATCTTTTATCAGCAAGCAATAAGCCCGCCCACCCACCCCTTCTTCATTCCAGTGATTACTCTTAATATTGTTCAGCTTTTTACCAAAATTAAGTTCTGTCGAAACAATTTTAGACCAATTTTTTGAGATTTTTAAGGAAACTTTGACTCTGTTAAATAACAAATACTTGCTAACTTAGGGGGAAAAGTATATTTTCACTGCTTATTTAATTAAAACTGTTAAATGTTTGTAACAATAAAAAAACACCAAAAAAATAAAGTTTTAGAACAACAAAATCACCCATTCAATAAAAAACAGTTTTAAACATCTTTACATACAAAAGACCATAGGATCCAAAAGAATCCTGTAATAAACCATGAAATTTGTTTTTAAAAAAATAATGTTGGTGCAACTATTTGACGATTTATATGACAGACACTGAAGGACTTTTTTTGGTTATACAAGTTTTCAAAATTTATAAAAATTTTAGTCTTGTCGAACATGTATTTTTTAAGGCTGAAAAACTAAGACGTTAAAATAAATACAATTTTGAAGTAAATGAGAATAATAAAAAAACAGATGTACTAAAAACGACAAAGATAAAATAAAGCTGAGGGCCATTACTAATGCGATTTATAAAATTGTTGATTGCGGTATAAGAAGTATAATAAGTGTTTTTTATTACTAGAGATTGTTCACCGAGGTGGAGTCGAGATATATAAAACGCCATGGGATAAAAATAATAATTTCATTGAATTTTATATAAAAAAACCATAAAGACTTAACATTCTTTTTTACAACCATTTTATGACTTTTAGCAACAAAATTTTAAGAACTATAAACAAAATGTAAACAACTGGAAAGTTTTCTAACATGTTTACAAACAAAACGAGAAATATTTGAAATGGAAAATAAAATAAAGCTTCACAACGTGTCTAGTGCAGCAAACATCACCAACTATGCAAAAAGCTTTTGAACGTTCTAATGAAGCAATAATGCAACAAAACACGGAATGTACAGTTTTCTGACATTTGATTGACTGTGATGAGCTATTCCGAGAACTTAATCTTCCAGCATGTTAAACAAAAAACGAAAAACTTTACCATTTAGCCATCCTTCACTAAAAACAGACTAAAAACAGCAGCGTTCCATTTGTGTCGTCCTTTTGTCATTAGCAATTTTAACCACAAGACAACTAAAGAATGTACTTTATAGCCAGATCCTAACGATACCACATAATGATTTCCTTAACGGTCTTACCTCTGTCACGTAAATCCGACAACGTAAAAATGAAACACACATTTTACGGACACCGAGCGACAGTGCTTTCGTGACTACACAGAATAGGAGTTGAACTACTTCTGAAGCATTTGCATTCGCTTTATAAACTTAATACCGAAAGTTCTTTTTATTAGGATTTATGATAAATCAATACGAAGATATTATAGCCCAACCTCCCTTCCTTCCATACCTAATCAATTTTCTTAACACACCTACCCTTAATCACTCCGTGCAGTTCGCAAAAAAACATCAAGTAACTAGGTTGGCTTTACCTTGAATTTTCCTTCATTTCGCTTTCATCAGGATCGATAACCGCAAATGAAGTGTATGGGTTTGGTCGGAAGGGCTTCTCGATGGGGTGTTCGGTGAAGTTATCCCTGTAGAGAGGCTGCAGCTCGAGGGCGCCTTCCACTTTCAGGGAGTCTTCCGGTTTAGAAGCTCGGACGGGAGGAATTTCCTGGAATCAATCATTGTGGGTTTTGGGGATGACTGGGTCCGGGTGGAGTTACCTGTCGAAGGTTGTCGGTGAACTCGTAGTAGTTCTTGAATCTTCGCTTGTATTCGCTCTTCAGGGGCTTGAAAGAGCCGTCGCGAAGTCTCAAGTTGTCGCTGGGCCAGAGGGTTCCTAAATTTATAATTTAAGTTTTTTTATAGTAAGGTATCTACAATTATTATTTATCTAACTTCTACTACTTTTAGTTCATTTTAACCACAGTTATTGGTATTCAGTAATGTATTATTTGAATTAAGGTGGCAGTAAAATACACGATCTAAAAACAATTGCTACATTTCAAATTTAATTCTGATTTCGACCTCATTTCTCATTTCCCACAACTCATTTCTCATTATGCACAATTCTTTTGTCATTTTGCACATCCGAATTTACATTTAACACATCACATTTCCCAATTCACACATCTCAGCTATCATTTCGCACACCCCATTTTTCATTCCGGACATCTCATTTCTCATTTCCCGCATCTTGTTTTCATTTCAAACATCTCATTTCATTTTGATTTCGCACTTTTCATTTCTCATTTCCCACATCTCATTTCTCATTTTATACATTTTCAATGCTCATTTCGAACTTCTCATTTTTCATTTCGCAAATCTCATTTCTTGTTTCGCACGTCTCACTTCATTTAGCACATCTCGTTTCTTATTTCGTACATTTCATTTCTCATTTCGGATTTCTCATTTTTCACTTCGTACATCTCATATTTCATTTCACGCATCTCATTTCTCAGATCTCATTTTCCATTTCGCACATCTAGTTTTAATTTCGCGCTTCTCACTTCTCATTTAGTACATCTATCTCACTCATGATTTTGCACGTCTCATTTTTTATTTCACACATCTCGTTTTTCATTTCGCACATCTCATTTTTCATTCCACACATCCCAATTTTTATTTCGCACATCCCATTTTTCATTTCGCCCGTTTCATTTTTCATTTCTCACATCTCATTTTTCATTTCACACATCTCATTTTTCATTGCGCATATCTCGTTTTTCATTCTACACTATTAATGAATTTAGGATTAAAATACGAAATGAAACTTTTAGTCAATATGATTATTATGTTTATTATTTTATAATGTTATTTTTGTTTAATATCTTTATTGTATGTAATATTAATCTGGATTTTTGTAAACTTTTTTAAATAACAACAATAAAGCTTCTATCTATCACTTCGCACTTCTCATTTTTCTCTTCGCACATCTTGTTTCCCATTTCGCACGTCTCGCTTTTCATTTCGCATAACTCATATTTTTCATTTCACGCATCTCATTTCTCATTTCTCACATCTCATTCTCCATGTCGCAGATCCCATTTTTCATTGCGTATTTCTCATTTTTCATTTTACACATATCATTTCTCGTCCACACATCTCATTTCTCATTTCGTATATTTCATTTTTCATTCTACACATCCCATTACTCATTTCACACGTCTCATGTTTCAGTTCGCACATCTCATTTTTCACTTCACACATCTTGTTTTCATTTTGCACAACTTATTTTTCATTTCTCATTTCTCACATCTCATTTTCCATTTCGTACTTCTAGTTTTCATTTCGGGGTTCTCATTTATCATTTACTATATCTATCTCATTCATGGTTTTGCACGTCTCATTTTTCATTTCACACATCTCATTTTTCATTTCGAACATTTGAATTCTCATTTCGCGTATCTCATTTTTTATTTCGCACATCTCGTTTTTCTTGTTACACATTTTATTTTTCATTTCGCCCATCTAGTTTTTTACTTCGCACATCTCATTCCCCATTTTCACATCTCATTTCTCATGTCGCACATCTTATTTTACATTTCTCACATCTTGTTTTACATTTCGCACATCTTATTTTGCATTTTGCATATCTGATGTTACATTTCGCACATCTCATTTCTTATTTCGCACATCTGATTTCCCATTTCTCACACCTCATTTTCCATTTTACACATCTTATGTTTCATTTCGACCTTCTCATTTTTCATTTCGGAGTTCTCATTTTTCATTTCGCAGATGTCATAGTTCATTTCACATTTTTCAATTCTCACATCTCATTTTCCATTTCGCACATGTAGTTTGCATTTCGCACATCTTATTTTTCATTTCACACTTCTGACATCTCTCGCACATCTCATTTGTTGCTTCGCACGTCTTATTTTTCATTTTGCACATATTATTTCTCATTTCGTACATCTCATTTCCCATTTCTCACACTTCATTGTCCATTTCGTACATCTAGTCTTCATTTCGCACATCTAATTTTTCATTTCACTCTTCTCACATCTTTCTCATTTTTTGTTTGTCAAGTCTAATTTTTCATTTCGCACATCTCATTTTTAATTTCGCACATCTCGTTTCTCATTTCCCACGTCCTACTTTTGATTTTGCACATGGTATTCCTCATTTGCCACATGTCATTCTTACTTTTTGCACATGTCGTTTCTCATTTCCCACGTCCCATTTTCCATTGCACACGTCTGATGTTTCATTTCACATCTCCTTTCTTATTGCACAGATCTCATTTTTCATTTCGCACATCTAATTTTTGATTTGAAACACTTCATTTTTAATTTCACACATCTCGTTTTTCTTTTCGCCCATCTTGTTTCTTATTTCGCACATCTCATTCTCATTTTGCACATATCAGTTTTCATTCCGCACATCTTATTTTTCATTTCGTAATTTTCATTTATCGTTCTCACATCTCATTCCTACATTTCGCACATCTCATTTTTCATATCGCACATCTCCTTTCTCATTTCGCACATGTAATTTTTCATTTCATACATCTCATTTCTTGTTTCGCACGTCTCATTTTTCATTTCTCAGATATCATTTCTCATTTCGCACATCCCATCTCTCATTTCGTACATCTCATTTTTCAATTCGCACATCTCATTTTTTACTCCACAAATCCCACTTTTCATTTCGTACGATTCATTTTTCATTTCTCATATCTAATTTCCCATTTCACACTTCCCATTTTTTCATTTCACACATCTCATAGTTCATTTCTCATTTCAAACATCTCATTTTCCATTTCGCACATCTAGTTTTCATTTCACACATCTTATTTTTCACTACACAGTTCTCACATCTTTCGCGCATCTCATTTCTTGTTTGGCACGTCTAATTTTTCATTTAGCACATATGATTTCTCATTTCGCACATTTCATTTCTCATTTTGCAGTTCTCATATTTTATTTCACACCTGTCATTTTTCATATAGTCAATCTCATATTTCATTTCACACTTCTCAGTTTTCATTTCGCACATCACATTTTTCATTTCGCGTTCTCATATTTCATTACGCACATCTCGTTTTTCACTTGGCACATATTATTTTTCATTTCGAACATTTGATTTTTCATTTCGCACTTCCCATTATTCATTTCACACATCTTATTTCTCATTTCAATCATCTCATTTTTTGTTTCGCACGTCTCATTTCTTATTTCGCACATCTCTTTTCTTATTTCGTACATGATATTTTTCATTTCGCATACCTCAATTTTCATTCCACACAAACTATTTTTTATTTCGCATGTCTCATTTTTCATTTCTCACATCTCATTTTTCATTTCGCACATCTCATTTCTTATTTCTCACATCTCATTTTCCATTGCTCACACCTCATTTTCCAATTTGCACATCTTATGTTTCATTTCGACCTTCTCATTTTTCATTTCGCAAGTAACATTTTTCATTTCGCACATGTTATAGTTCATTTCAGATTTCTCAATTCTCATATCTCATTTTCCATTTCGCACATCTAGTTTGCATTTCGCACATCTTATTTTTCATTTCACATTTCTGAGATCTCTCGCACATCTCATTTATTGCTTCGCACGTATTATTTTTCATTTCGCACATATTATTTCTCATTTCCTATATTTCATTTCATATGTCTCACATTTCATTATCCATTTCGTATATCTAGTCTTCATTTCGCACATCTAATTTTCATTTCACACTTCTCACATCTTTCGCACATCTCATTTCTAGTTTCTCACGTCTAATTTTTCATTTCGCACATCCCATTTTTCATTTCGAACGTCTCATTTTTCATTTCTCGCATCTCACTTTTCATTTCACACATCTCATTTTCAGTTTCGCACATCTAGTTTTCTTATGCACACTCATTTTTCATTTCGCACATCTAATTTCTCATTTTACACATCTCATTACTTATTTCGCACATATTATTTCTCATTTTCCATTTCGCATATCTTATTTTTCAATCCATGCATCCCATTTTTCATTTCGCACATCTCGTTTCTCATTTTCCATGTCATTCTTACTTTTTGCACATGTCGTTTCTCATTTCCCACGTCCCATTTTCCATTGCACACGTCTGATGTTTCATTTCACACATCTCCTTTCTTATTGCACAGGTCTCATTTTTCATTTCGCACATCTAATTTTTGATTTGAAACACTTCATTTTTAATTTCACACATCTCGTTTTTCTTTTCGCCCATCTTGTTTCTTATTTCGCACATCTCATTTCTCATTTTGCACATATCAGTTTTCATTCCGCACATCTTATTTTTCATTTCGCAATTTTCATTTATCATTTCTCACATCTCATTCCTACATTTCGCACATATTCTTTCTCATTTCGAACATTCCATTTTTCATTTCATACATCCTATTTCTTGTTTCGCACGTCTCATTTTTCATTTCTCAGATATCATTTCTCATTTCGCACATCCCATCTCTCATTTCGTACATCTCATTTCTCAATTCGATCATCTCATTTTTTACTCCACAAATCCCATTTTGCATTTCGTACGATTCATTTCTCATATCTCATTTCTCATTTCACACTTCCCATTTTTTCATTTCACACATCTCATAGTTCATTTCTCATTTCAAACATCGCATTTTCCATCTCGTACATCTAGTTTTCATTTCGCACATCTTATTTTTCACTACACAGTTCTCACATCTTTCGCACATCTCATTTCTTGTTTGGCACGTCTAATTTTTCATTTCGCACATATGATTTCTCATTTCGCACATCTCATTTCGCATTTTGCAGTCTCATATTTTATTTCACACCTGTCATTTTTTATAGAGTCAATCTCATATTTCATTTCACACTTCTCAGTTTTCATTTCGCACATCACATTTTTCATTTTGCAGTTCTTATTTTTCATTACGCACATCTCGTTTTTCACTTGGCACATATTATTTTTCATTTCGAACATTTGATTTTTCATTTCGCACTTCCCGTTATTCATTTCGCACGTCTTATTTCTCATTTCAATCATCTCATTTTTTGTTTCGCACGTTTCACACATCTATTTTCTTATTTCGTACATGACATTTTTCATTTCGCACACTTCATTTTTTATTTCACACAAACTATTTTTGATTTCGCACATCTCATTTTTCATTTCGGACTTCTCATTTTTCTTTTCACGCCTCTACTTTTTTATTTCGCACATCTCATTTTTCCATTTCGTATATCTCCTTCCTCATTTCGCACATCAAATTTGTTATTTCGTACATCTCATTTTTCATTTCACACATCTTATGTGTCATTTCTCACAACTCAATTTTCCATTTCGCACAGCCGAAAAAAACGCTGATAAAAAACATTATTTTACTCAAACCTTGAATACGTTTCATCTGACTAAATTGAAGATCGGCGTTAAAACTGTCCTCTTTAAGAAATCTTCGAATTTTTCCTTTTCAAATATCGGTTGCACCAATCAACGTTTGATAATAATTGACGGAAAAATTAGACTTGGTTAACGTTGACTGTTACTAGATTCGTTTAATCAAACACGTCGTATCGATGCAGACTTTAACGTGGAACATTTTAAAAACATCGTTATACAAATAAAAAGCACAAAAAAGCAATGGACACGACATTTAATCGATTCAGTTGAAAGATAGAAAATCATACAAGCAACGACGTACACGACAAAGGAAAATGTTTTCATACTTTTTATTCTCAGTACTAGTCAATCGTAAAATCGTAAATAATTGTAGAAAATACAGGAAGTTGCTTTAACGAAAAAGCTGTTTATCCAAAATTTAAAAAAATAATTAAAAATCTTGTCTGATGTGTATGACTGACAAAATCTTGTACTTGAGCTATAAGTTTGCAAAAAGTAGCAAACTGACCACTTAGGACTGAGTATTCTACAAATGTTAAATACCTTATTTAATACTCCTATAATTATTCGAACCTATATAAGCACACTAAACTCAAATCAAATTTACTGCTCAAGCCATAACTCTCCGGTAATAAAATTTTATTACCATGCAAAAATTACACTACCATTAAAAACCCATATACCTGAAGGCCTCTTCCTGCGATACAGACAAAGCTCGTCCACGGTAATCCCCGGCGGAAAGCCGGACCTGAGCCCCTTCCTTCCAGCCGTGGCTAGGTTGGGCTCCGACGCCGAATTAGCCTTCCACACAACCCTTTTACTGCAATTACAAAACCAATTCAATTACTCGGACGTTCGATATCGCCCCACTAATATAATCGTGTTCACATTCATGCCACTTATCGGCGCTTCCTCAACGCCATCGTTGCATGCCGCGGCAGCGCGCATCGACACCCCGATCCCATCAAAACATTTTTTTTTCAGCGATGGGGGTGCGAAAGATCACAATCGCACACAATGCAGTGGTGAACTGAACCGATTTGAAAACAACAGGCGAATTCCGTTGCATGTCGAATGAGTACCAGGCTACAGCAGGAACTTTGAATTTGTCCTTATTGGAAACACTGGCTAGATTTCTATCCCTTTCGCTTTCCTTGCTGCGGCGGTGACAAGCAGAATTGCAAGGAGTGACGTGGTGGAGGCGGCGGGCAGGGCCGGATTGGGGGGATATTTTGCGACTTGGGGGTGGTGTGTGTTTTAAGGATTGAGGGGTGGCACAGTGAGAAAGATACTGTTGTGTAGGTTGGTTGTCTCCGTCTAGCTGATGTGTTTTGTTTGAAGCTTAAATGAATTAAACAAATTAAACAAAATAAATTAAAAATCAATAATCTAAAAAATAAAAATTCGAGAAGTTGAAAAATAGAAATATTGAAGAACTGAAAAATTGAAAAACTGAGAAATCGAAACACCGAAAATCCAAAACTTAACAAATCAAAAAATTGAAAAAATTAATAAACTAAAAATTTCCAAAAGTGAAATGACGAAAAAATTTGGAAATCGAAGAAATGAAAATCAAAACATCGAAAAATTTAAAAATCAAAAAGCGGAAAAGTCAAATAGTCGAAACACCGAGAAATCGAAAAATCGACACATGGAAAAATTCAAAAACTGAAACATTGTAGAAATCGAAATACTAAAAGATCGACAAATCGAGAAGTCGAGAGCTCGAAAAATCGAAAAATTGGGAAATCTTAAAAGGCCAAAATTGAAAAGTCGACAAGTTAAAAATTGAAAAATTAAAAATAATCGAACAGTGGAAAAATTGTAAAATTGAAAAATCGATAACAATAACCTCGTTGTTGAAACCCTGTTGCAATCAGTAAATAAAAAAAACAAAAAAAAATATTTAAAAATCGACAAATTCAAAAATCAAAAATCTGAAAAATAAAAATTCGAGAAGTTGAAAAATAGAGATATGTAAAAACTGAAAATTGGTAAAACTGAGAAATCGGGAATTTAACACATCGAAAAATTGAAAAATCATAAAACTGTCGAAAAGTCCAAAAACTGAAACATCGTAGAATTCAAAAAATCAAACAATCGAAAAATTGGAAAATTGGAAAATCGAGATATTGAATAATCGAAAAACTGAAAAATCAAAACATCAAAAAATTGGAAAATCAAAAAGCCGAAAAGTCAAATAGTCGAAAAACCGAGAAATCGAAACATCGAAAAGTTCAAAAACTGTAACATCGTAGAAATCGAAATATCAAATAATCGAAAAATCGAGAAATAGAGAAGTTGAAAATTCGAAAAATTGGAAAATCGAGAAGTTCAAAAACTGAAATCGTAGAAATCAAAATATCAAAAGAGCGAGAAATCGAGAAATCGAGAAATCGAGAAATCGAGAAATCGAGAAATCGAAAAGTCGAAAAATCGAACAATTGGTAATTCGAAAAAGACGAAAATTGAAAAATCGAAAACTTGGAAAAAATTTAAAAATTAAAAAAATCGAACAATCGAATAATTAAAAAATTGAAAAATCTTACCAAGAATTCGAAAACTTGAAAATCTAAAACCAAGAAGTCGAAAAACTGATAAATCCAGGTATTGAAAAGTTACCAAAATTAAAATTTTGAAAATTTAAAAAACCGAAAATGTCTAATAATTTAAAGAAATCGAAAAATTTAAAAATCAAAAATCTGAAAAATAAAATTTATAGAAGTTGAAAAATAGAAATATTGAGGAACCGAAAAATCGAAAAACTCAGAAATCGAGAAACCGAAGATCCAAAACTTAATAAATCAAAAAATTGAAAAATCCTAAACCTGGACTGAATAATCAAAAAACTGAAAAAATTAAGAAACTAGAGATTTCCAAAACGGAAATGACGAAAAATTGGGAAATCGAAGAATTGAAAAATCAAAATATCGAAAAATTGGAAATCGAAAAGCAGAAAAAAGTCAAATTGTCGAAAAACCGAAAATTCGAAAAATCGAAACACCGAAAAGTTCAATAACTGAAGCATCGTAAACATCGAAATATCAAAAGATCGACAAACCGAAAAATCGTAAAACTGAGGAATCGGAAACTCAAAAACTTTAAAAATCGAAAAAAAAAATTAAAAAATTGAAAAATCTAAAACCAAGAATTCGAGAAATTGAAAATCTAAAACCAAGAAGTCGAAAAACTGAAAAATCGAAAAATTCAAAAACTGAAACATAGAAATCGAAATATCAAAGGATCAAGAAATCGTGAAATCGAAAAGCCGAAAAGTCAAAAAATTGGGAAATCGAAATAGACCAAAATTGAAAAAATCTAAAATTTAAAAATTGAAAATTTGAAACTAAAAAAATCGAACAATCCAAAAATTGGAAATATTCGAGAAATTGAATAATCGAAAAACTGAAAAATGAAAAAATTTTAAAATCGCCAGATTGAAAAATCAAAAACTCAAAAATTTTAAAAATTGAAGAATTCTAAAATTGGAAAATCTAAAACCAAGAAGTCGAAAAATTGAAAAATCCAGGGATTGAAAAGTTCAAACACTGCTAAACATCGTCGAAATCGAAATATCAAAGGCTCGCGAAATAGAGAAATCGAAAATTCAAGAAGTCGAAACATCGAGAAATTGGGAAATCGGAAATGGCCAAAATTGAAAATTCGAAAAATTAAAAATGGAAAAATATTACATTATAAAAATCGTCAATCGAAAAATTGGAAAATTGGAAAATCAAGAAATTGAATAATCGGAAAACTGAAGAATTAAAAGATTTAAAAGTCACAGGATTGAAAAATCAAAAATTCAATAATTTAAAAAATCAAAAACTTAATAAATTGAAAAATTTAAAACCAAGAAATCGAAAAATTGAAAAATCCAGGAATTGAAACGTTCTCAAAATTGAAATGTTGAAAATCGAAAATGTATAATTTAAAGAAATCGGAAACTTTTAAAATCAAAAATCTGAAAAATAAAAATTCTAGAAGAAACATTGTAGAAATCGAAATATCGCAGGATCGAGAAATCGCAAAATTCAAGAAGTCGAAAAATCGAAAAATTGGGAAATCCGAAAAGGCCAAAATGGAAAAAAGGGAAAGTCAAAAACTGAAAAATTTAGAATTAGAAGAAAAATCGAACAATCAAAAAATTGAAAACCGAAAAACCAAAAAATTTAAAAATCACAAGATTGAAAAATCAAAAAAATTTAAAAATCGGTAAATAACAAAATCGAAAATTCTAAAACCAAAAAAAAATCGAAAATTTAATGTATAATTCGAAAAATTGAGAAAAAAGTGAAAAAATGAGAAATTGACGAATTTCAAAACTGAAATGACGAAAAATTGGGCAATCGGAGGATTGAAAAATCAAAATTTCGAAAAACTGGAAAATCGAAAAGTCGAAAAACCAAGAAATTGAAAAATCGAAACATCGAAAAGTTCAATAACTGAAACATCGTAGAAATCGAAACAGCAAAGAATCGATAAATTGAAAAATCTGAAATTTGAGTAGTCGAAAAATCGAAAAACTGAGAAATCGGAATACGTCAAACTTGAAAAATCGAAAAATTGTAAAATGAAAAAATCGAAATATTGATTGATTAATCGAGAAATTGAAAAATCAAAAAAATTAAAAGAATTGAAAAATCGAAAATTCAAACATTTTAAAAATTGAAAAATTGAAAAACTGAAAAATCTAAAACTAAGAGGTAGAGAAATCGAAAGATCGAGACATCGAAACATCAAAAAACTGAAATATCCAAAATTTAATAGATAATCCGAAAAATTGAAAAATAGAAATATCGAAGAACTGAAAAATCGAAAAATCGAGAAATCAAAAAATGTAAAAATTTTACAAAATTGAAAAACTAAAATATCGAAGAATTGGAAAAGCGAGAAATCGGAACATCAAAATATGGAAAAATGTAAAAATCTAAAATTTAAAATCGAAAAATTGGAAAATCCAGAAAGTAAAAATCGAGAAATCCAAAAATAGAACAGTCCAACAAACGAAACATTAAAGAATGGAAACATTGCAAAATTTCAGAATTAATGAACCGAAAAATTAAAAAATCGCCATACTTAAACATGGAAAAATTGAAAAATCGTGAAGTCGAAAAATCGAAAATTTAAAAAATCAAAAAATTGAAAAGCTACAATCGAAGAAAATCGGAAAAATTGGAAAATCTAAAAATTGAAGAATTGCAAAGTTGAAAAATCGTTAAACTAAAAACATCGGAAAATAGAAAAATCGAAAAATGAAAAAAATCAAGAAATGGAAAATTTGAAAAACTGAGAAATTGATGAATCGAAAAATCCCAACACTAAAATATCGCAGAACTGCATAATCAAAAAATTGAAAATCGAGAAATTGAAAGATTGACAAATCGAAGAATAAAAAACTGGAAAATCTCAAAACTTAAACATCGAAAAATTGTGAAATGTATCGTTCAAAAATCGAGAAATCGAAAAGCCAAAAATTGAAAATTCGAAAGACTGTTTTATTTTCCAAAAATCTCCATGTGCAGGATAAAAATTCAACAAGTATCCATAAACCAAATGTTCATTCAGAACTATGTTAGTTTTTGATATTTAAATAAGATTTATTCAACAAAATTTTAAGATTTTTAAATTTTAAAATCTTAAAAGGTTTGCAATTTTATAAAGAAATTTTGCAATTTTAAAATTAAATTATAAAATGTTCTTTTACAATTTCGGAGATTAACTGTCTAATAAAAATCCGGATAGATAGGAGGCATACAGACAGACGGATAAACGGAAACGGGAGACCTATTTTTTCGTACTTTAGAGGTCATGAAACGT